GGGATTCCATCATGGTGGGCGGCGGGGTCTCTTTGGGAGCCGACACAGATGGGTGGAGTAGTTTAATACCCTGAATCGCGAGGAGGAGGGTGGGTTTGCGGGGTCTTCGACCCCTGCCGCACGGGTGGTGGGGTATCGCTGCTGGTTTATGAAGATATTGGGTCTGGTTATATATTCGGGTCGAGCAATCGTGGCTTTGGTTTCCATCTTTTTGTGACAGGATTTGGTTTTTGTAGTTATCTGAATTCTTTTTCGCCGTTTATGTAACTGTTGTCGTAATTAGTTGCAACTCTTGTGTAGCTTTTTGCATGTGATGGAATGAAGGAGAGAGTGTCGCTATGTAGAAACGCCATTATGGTGGGCAGTGGGGTCTCCTTGTGAGAAGGTGCAGATTAGTGGAAGTGGTTTTCCCTAAATCGCACGGAGGCGGGTGGGTTTGCGGGGTCTTTGACCCATGCCACGCAGGAGGTAAGGTATTCCCCCTCAGACGTTGAATTTGGGTCAGATATTCATTTCATCTTAATAGGATGCTGTTTGCTGTCATCTGAATTCTTAAGGAGAAGTGGTGAGCATTGCTACACAAGGGCTTCGTCATGGAGGGAGGTGAAGCATCCGTAGGGGGTGTATGTAGATTGAGAGAGAGGCTTACCCTAAATCGCGAGGAGGTGAGGGGGGTCTTGTGGGGCTTTTTAGCCCCTGCCGCGCGGAAGGTAGGGTAATCCTCAGGTTAGTGAAAACAACATCGTGGTGGGAGTTTGTGTTTTTGTAAAGAGGAGTGTGGGGAGGTGCTATCTGCTTTAAATCGCGAAGAGGTGGGTGGGTTTTGTGGGGCTTTTAGCCCCTGCCGCGCGGGAGGTAGGATAATCCCCTGGTTAGTGAAAACAGCATCATGGTGGGAGTTGGTGTTTTTGTAAGGAGGAGTGTGGGGAGGTGCTATCTGCTTTAAATCGCGAGGAGGTGGGTGGGTTTTGTGGGGTTTTTTAGCCTCTGCCGCGCGGGAGGTAGGGTAATCCCCTGGTTAGTGAAAACAGCATCATGGTGGGAGTTGGTGTTTTTGTAAAGAGGAGTGTGGGGAGGTGTTATCTGCTTTAAATCGCGAGGAAGTGGGTGGGTTTGCGGGGTCTCTGTCAGCAGTTTGGGGCCTGTGGGCCCAGACCCCTGCTGCGCGGGTGGTAGGGCAGATTGGCAGGGGTTGGTAATAACTCCGGATGAATGGTGGACATGATCACGCAGCGCGGACCGCTCGTTTTTTTTTTGTGGTTTTGATTCGTTTTTCTTCGGTAGTTCCTTTTGCACATGATTTCTTAATGGTCGGCGGAATTTTAGTCACTAAATTAGGGTTCACAACTTCACATTACTATTGTGATTAGATTTTTTAGTGATGAACTTTAGACTTCGATAATAAATTTCGTTGATTTTTCAGTGGTAGGGGTTGTGGAGTTGGCTGCAGGGTGAAATCTAGTGGTTCCCTCGACGTGCTTGGCCGGTGATGCTTTGCCCGCCGAGGGCCCCACCTAATTTTGTGAGGTACACTGGGCCCGGTTCCCAACTTTTATAAATGTTGTTCGTTATAAAAAATTAAAAAAAATAAAAAATAATAATAATTTTAAAAAAAACGAAAAACATATTGTTATGCAGAAAAATAAGCTAAACAACATTTACCTGAGCATTATATCCGAATTCCTTACCAAACTTAAAATAAAAATAAATAAAGGAAAATAAATACCATGGTTACCAACCGGACGTCCGGATCCCGATCCGGACAGCCCGGTGTCCGGTGTCCGGTGTCCGGGTCCAGTATCCGGTTCGGATGGTCCGATTGGATCCCGATTTCGAAAAATTCAAAATTTCTTTTTAGGGTTCCCAAGCCGTTCACTTGGGCCTCAAAATTTATTTTTGGGGTTCCCAAACCGTTCACTTGGGCCTGGGGTACCCCGGAAAAATAATGCTGATGTTTTTTTAGAACCCGTACCCCAACCGGACAGGCTCTGAAAGGGACCTCTGTGTGATAACATTGGCACACGAGTTCACTGGTTTGCTCTTATTTGGATGGAATCTTGGTGCATTTGAGCTCTCTTCTTGGTACATGCCTATCTGGACTGCTGCGTGATTTTGCAACTTGATTTTCTGTCTATCGCTCTCGCTCATTTTCCTTGCATTTTTGTGACGTGGGAGGAGGGTCTGGCCAATGGGAGGGGCGACCAAAGATAGGAGGGCGATGAAGGATGGGAGGGAGATGAAGGATGGGAGGGCGATGAAGGATGGGAGAGGCGAGCAGGGATGGGAGGGCGATGGCGAATGGGAGGGCGTTGAAGGATGGGAGGGTGATGAATGATGGGAGGGAAATGAAGGATGGGAGGGGCGAGCAGGGATGGGAGGGCAATGACGCCAGACAGAGATGAGCGACATTGCGTATTGTGTTGGTGCGGCCTGAGGGCGATGACATTGGCACACCGGTTCACTGCTTCGCTCTTATTTGGATGGAATCTTTGTGCATTTGAGCTCTCTGCTTGTTTTTTTTTATTTTTTTGTTTGTTTGTTTGTTTGTTGTTGTTGTTTTTGTTGTTGTTGTTGTTGTTATTGTTGTTGTTATCCGGACAACCGGACACCGACGCAGCAAACCGGACTGTCGGGTTCCGGATGTCTGGATGTCCGGTTTCATGTCCGGTTAACCGGACGTCCGGTTTTATCCTGACACAGGTCCGGTGTCCGTGTCTGGTTGTCCGGTTGTCCGGAGCAACCATGATAAATGGTAATAAGAAAAATAAGAAAAAATAAAAAGAGAAATTAGAGAATTAAAATTAGTGAGTGCGCAAGCCCGTTTCGACACCGCCATTTTTGGCGATTTTTCATTTTTTGGGGCATCGCCAAATGCCCTGCAACCTT